GAAAGAAAGAAAGAAAGAAAGAAAGAAAGAAAGAAAGAAAGAAAGAAAGAAAGAAAGAAAGAAAGAAGAAAGAAAGAAAGAAAGAAAGAGGGAGGGAGGGAGGGAGGGAGGGAAGGAAGGAAGGAAGGAAGGGGGGGGAAGGGAGAAAGAAAAAGAGATACTCAAGTGGCAAAGCCACCCAGATCCAGGCTCTGCGGTACTGATGTGAAGTCACTGTCCACATTTCTGTGATAAACATGCAGCGCTCCTGGAGACAGCACAGATGGGGCGCGACGGAGTTCAGCGGTAAAGTATCTGCCCGGGACGCACAAAGGGCTGGGTCCAAATGCCCACTGCCAGGAGGGTAGGAGGAGCAGATAACGAAGACTGGCCCCGAAGCTCTGGGTTTACTTCCCAGACCTTAGCGTCTCCAGAGGGAAGAAAAAGCGGGTCACGTGCCCAGGGCTCAACCAATCACTGTCCTCGGAGGAGGAGGCACTGGAATGCTCTGATTCGCTGAACCTGAGTCATGGGCGTTCCCTGAAGAGGGAAGGCCGGGTGAACCCCAAGGGGACTAAGTGACTGAATGGAGAAGTTTCTTTTTCAAAAACATTGGATGTCGTTCCCAGACGTCTGGCAGAACCCGTGAGTGGCGGTGTACGCCTGTAATCCCAGCACTCGGGAGGCTGAGGCAGGGGAATTGCCTCGAGTTCAATGCCAGCTTGTGCTACATAGTGAGCTCAAGGGCAGCCTGGACTACATAGTGGGACCCTGTCTCAAGAAAACAAAAAAAGAAGAGGAAGAAGAAGAGGAGGAGGAGGGGGAGGAGGAGGACGAAGAATTGGAGGAGAAGCAGCCGTTGATGCTATGTCTCTGGGAGGGAGAGCTGGGCCAACAGGATGAGGAGTATAGGAACAGCACCGCCCCTCCAGGGCTAGGGTGAGCATTCTGTGAGATCATGCTGCGGAGTCATTTAGCCAACTGCCAGGCTCTGAGTCGGTGCCCGATAAATGGCAGCTCTGTGAGCAAGAGTCACAGTATGACGACTGCTCAGAGTGCTATCTATATGCCAGGAGGTAATGAGCTCCCCATCTCGGGAGGGAACCAAGCTGAGGGTGTACAGCCAAGCAGTGGAAGCTGAGGGCATCTGCCTTCTACAACCCCAGTCCTCAAGGCACTGCGATTCTTACCACAATATCCCTATTGATGGATCGCTCTGTTTGTTGGTACTGGGGATTGAACCCAGGGCCTTTGCACTAAGCTACATCCCAAACCTTTTTATTTTCTCAAGCTTTTTTAAAATTTTGTTTTTATTTTGAGACTTGATCCTGCTAAATTGCTAAGTTGTCCAGACTGGACTTGAACTTGTCATCCTCCATTACAGGCGTGTGCCACCACGCCCACCTCTTCCTTCCTTTTTTTTTGGTACCGGGGATGGAACTCAGGACCTTGTGCTTGCGAGGCAGGCGGTGGAACCACTGAGCTAAATCCCTGGCCCTCTTCCTTCTATTTTAACGTTATCCTATCTGGTCTAATTTACAGTGCTCATCAGGATCTGCATTCATCATATTTGTTTGCAATGTCTCCTCTATTAGATCATCAGCCATATTTAGCAAGATGGTGTCGGGCAGGGGATTTAGCTCAGTGCAGCCGCGCCTGCCTCACAAGCGAAAGGTCCTGAGTTCGATCCTGGTACCGCAAAAAAAAAAAAAAAGACAGAAAGAAAGAAAGAAGGAAGGAAGGAAAAAAAGAAAGAAAGACAGAAAGAAAGGAATGCCTGTAACCCTACTGCTCAGGAGGCTGAGGCAAGAGGATCATAAATTCAAGCCCAGCTTGGAGAATTTGGTGGGATCAAGTCTCAGAATAAAAATGTTAAAAGGGCTGGGGGTGTAGCTTAGTGGTTGACCATTCTCCTAACATCTGTCAGTTCCCTGTACCTTAAGAAAAACAAAACAAAAAAATCATTCCCCTGAGGCCAGGCACCTCAGTTACTGCTGTGTCCCACCGTCCAGCACAGTACCTGGCACACCACAAGCTCTTGACAAATACACGTTAAATGAATAAATAAATAAATAAATAAATAAAATATATACATTAAATGACCAGATCGATACTACTAATAAAAACAAGTCATCATTATCGAAGGCTGAGGCAGGAGGATTGCAAGTTTGAGCTCAGTCGGAACAATTTATCATCTTAGCGAGACCCTGTCTCCAAATAAAAAAGGGCTTAAAAAAAGAAAGAAAAAGAAAAGGCAGAGGGTGTACCTCAGTGTCAAGGGCCTGGGTTCAATTCCCAGTACCGAAAACAAAATAAAAACACGAAGTCGTGCCTAATTTTCTGAGGTAGTGAGTTCCCCCATTAAGAGAGGTGTCCAAGGGCCGGGGATTTAGCTCAGTGGTTTCGCCACCTGCTGCTCAAGCGCAAGGACCCGAGTTCGTGTGCAGAACACCTTGGAATAAGATGGAATTGTATAACCCTAAGTGTGCTGTAACCCTAAAGTGTGCTGTGACTTTAAGAGTGCTGTAACCTAAGTATAACACAATCATAAGAGTGATGTGTAACCATAAGATATTAAAGTAATGAAAGTAGAACCTTAAGTGGTATGGAACTGATAAGGGTGTAGCCCGAACTGGACGGGGCGTACCCCCGAACTGGACAGGGCGTACCCCGAATTGGGCAGAGTATGCCCCAAGCTGGACAGTGTGGTAAGTCTGAACCAATACCACGAACGCCCAGCTAGAATAGTATAAAAGGAGCTGAAGACCCCAAGCGAGTCGACGATCCGTCCCACCGACCAGTCGACCAGTCAGTCTGATGATCTGACTACCGACGGAGACATCTGCACACCTGATCCCGCTGGGAGGAGCATCGCCGCCGACCGGACGAGACCAGAGGACGAGGCAAGCGGAGAGGCGGATAGCCTAGCGCCGACTCGACGCCCTTCGTCTATGGATCGGACCCTCTGACTCTGCGGGAGGAAACGTCGCGCTCCCATTAAGGACTTGCGCAGTACAGGTACAGGGACGTGGTAATTGGCAGACTTAATATTGTGTGGTAATTGTATTGAAATGGATTAGGATAATATAAGTGTGTGAATTGCCATCCCAGTCCGAGTCCTCTTTACCCACGGTACCTGCTCGCGACAGCTCGAGATCCCCGGTACAAAAAAAAAAAAAAAAAGAGGTGTCCAAGCTGAAATTGAAAGACCATATCTTGCAATTAATTCAGGCTGCAAAGCCCTTACCCATGCCTCAGTTTCCTCACTTATGTATTGTGGGGGTGGCACTACTAGCGCAGCTCTTGCCTGCGGCGCCCGAAGTGGCCACCAGGGGGCGCGCGCGCTACCTCGGAGCCGCGGACTCGTCGAGACGCTCCTCGAAGGTTCCGCGCCGGGGGCGGCCAAGGCCGAAGGGCCGTTGGGCGTGAGAGATCCGGGGGAAGGGGGCGGGGTCCAGGCTGGCGCGCGTGCGCGGGGCGGTGACTCAGGCGCGCGGTTCGGCCCCTGTGCTCGCGGGGGGCGCGCACGGCCTCGGGAATCCGCTCCGTGCTGAGTCCATTTTTACCCGAGCGCCGCTAAAAATAGTCGCGGCACTCGGAGCGGAGCCCGAAATAGCGGCCCCCAGATAAGGCAGGAAGACTCAGCGCTTCCGGGGAGCGGAAAGGGGCGCGGGGGGCGGGGCCCGAGCTGGTCCCCGCGTTCCCAGCGCGCCCCACTGCGTCCCTGCGGCCACATTGGCCTCCAGCCGCCACCTCAGCCCTCGCCCGTCCGCCCTGTCACAAGCTGCCCCGTCCTTCCCCGCGTCCTGTCCCCTCATCCTCAGCTTCACGCCATCCCCATCCCAGACCGTAATTCCCCTTCCCCTTCCTCTCCCAATTTTCATTCCCAGCGCTGTCTCCCAACCACCCTGCTCCTGTCCCTGTGTCCCTCCTGACGCCCATCACGCGTCTCTGGCTCTCTGAACTCTTCTCCCTCAACACTGACCCTAACCCAGCCGATATGTGGGGTGCGGGTCAGAAGTCCACGCAGGACCTGTGTGGGGACTGCAGTGAGGGTCTCACTTATTGTGCCCAGGATCTAGGTCTGTGATCAGAATCGCGACTCCTCCTATGACCAGAGCCGGAGGTCAGGCTGGAAACAGATGCAGGGCAGGTCTTTGGTCACCAAGGTTGGGACTCTGTGTCACCAGTCAGGGCTCAGCCTGGGACCCACTGCTTAGTTCACAGATGGATCCCAGTGTACTAAGATTCTTCCCTCCCTTACAGGTCAATGGTGGGACACAAAGGCTCCAGGCAGTGGAACAGCCGGGACCCCTGCTGAGTCTGGGCCCCCTTTCCAGGCCCCTTTCCTTTGTGACCTCCTGTAGCTCTCTCAGTGCCTCCACGGAGGATGGTGCTGAACAGCAAGTCTACACTACATCCTCTGGAAGCAGGGTACCAGGCAGCTGTGCAGTGACAAGGTGAACTGCTTGGCTGTGGCTAGGAGGCAGCTTCAAGTAACAGCAAGGTCTCTGTCCCTGAAGACACCAAGCTCCAGCCAGTTGTTACACTGTTGGGATGGCTAGGGGCCAGAACCACCAAAGGGTAGGGCTGGAGGAGCCTGTAGGACAAGAGGAGTCAGGATCAAGGAATTAGGACGCTGGAAAAGTCAGCACTGACCAGACCACATGGCCTGGTGGGCTGTAGGGAAGAGCCTGGATTTTTTTCCCCCTACGGGCACTGGGGAGCCATGGCAGGTTTTGAGCAGGGGAGGGAGGAACAGAGGCAGGGGTTTTTCATTGGTTTTGGTTCTGGGTTTTTTGAGACAGAGTCTTGCTATGTAGTTCAGGCTGGTCTTGAACTCACGATGTAGCCCAGGCTGCCCTGGAAGTCACAGGGATCCTCGTGCCTCTGCCTCCTCAGTGCTGGGATTACAGGCATGTGCCACCAGGCCCCACTGTCAGCAGGCAGAAAGGACCAGACTTGGTGGCTGTGGGGGAGGGGGGACCCTGGATGAGGCCCAGACCCCCACCCCGGTGGAGAGTGGGTGGTGGGGTCATCCCTGAGATGAAGCCAGGGAGGAGGAAGGAGCAGGCATGGGTGGAAGATATCCAGATCAGTTTCAAGGCATTCCAGAGATGGTAATTTTTAAATTTCTATTTTTATTTATTTTTGACTGACACATAATAATTTGCACAGACTTATTCATGAGATACAAGTACAATAGGATGGGGTTTTTTGTTGTTATTTTTGTTTTTTCAGTTCTAAGAATTGCACCCAAGACCTTTGTCCTGAGCTACATCCCTGGCTCCCCTCCCTTTTTAAAAAAATTTTGAGACAGGGTCTTGATAAGTCATGAAGCTTGAACTTGCAATCCTACCTCATCCTCCTAGAGTGCTGGGATTACAGTCGGGTGCTACCACTCCTGGCTTAATGTTTTATATATATATGAATGATAGTATCTAATTCAGGTAATTAGCACATTCATCACCTTCAACTTTTATCATGTCTTTACAGGTTTATAATGTTTTGGTAAATACAAAAGGGAAGTACGTTGAGAAAGTAAATGTCTCACCTCCCCCTGATCAAGGCTTCTCAATGTGAACTCTTTTTTGTTTGTTTTTTGAGACAGGGTCTCACTGTGTAGCCCAGGCTGACCTTAGAGTCATGGTGATCCTCCTTCCTCAGTCTCCTGAGTGCTAGGATTACAGGGCACACCATCATGCCCAGCTCAGTGTCAACTTGTGTGTCTTGGCCAGTAGGATTCACTGAGGACTGGGTGTTTCCACTAGTGCGGATTGGGAGTCACCACCCAGTATGGGGGGGTGGGGGTGGGGTGTCAGGCACCATGTTAGGGGAAAACTGGGAGGACCAGGATGTGATCTTCCCACGGGCTGGCTCAGAAAGTTTTTCAAATTGCAGACATGGAAGTGATTGAAAAGCAGGAGCCAGAGTTCAGAAGGCCAGGCACTGGGGGAGGAGTGTGGGCCTTGAAGGAAGGCTGCCTGGAGGAGGAATGAGTTGCCCAGGAAGGCATCTTCCAGTCCCTTGGATGGGGCTTGGCCCAAAGTAGATCGCTGCCTTGGGAGGTTGAGTTCCATCAGCGGCAGGCAGTGCCCCCCTCCTTGGCCCCCAGTCCCCCAGAGGTGTTTGTAGGAGAAGCCTGGATGACATCTCAGGGGCACGCCTTGCTGACAGCACAGGCGGCCATCATGACGTCTGATGATTCGCCACTGCCGGTTCAGACCTGCATCTCTAGTCATGCGGGGGGGGGGGTGCAGATGGGAGGAAGTGGCAGGCCGTGGGGCTGCTGTCATGCAGACACTGGGGACTCAGAAGCCAGGACGAGTTCTGCCCCTTCTCTAGAGAAGGGGCCCCAAGGGGGCAGGGTGGGTGCATCCACCTTTTTGAGCTGGGTCTAGGAAGGAGGTACAGCTGGTTGGGATGGGGCCACCCCAGGGGCTTCAAGGATGAAGAACGCCGATTGTGTTGACTGCTGTATCGTCTTCATCTCGGACAGTAACTGGGACAGATTAGGTGCTCAATACATCGTTGTTCTCTCTCTCTCTTTTTTTTTTTTTTTTTTTGGTACTGGGGATTGAACTCGGGTCCATGTACTTGTGAAGCAGGCGCTGGAACCACTGAGCTAAATCCCAGGCCCTCAATACATCGTTGTTGAATGAACCAATTCAATGAAAGGGCTCAGCACTCTCCGGGACTGTTTACCCTCTTGGCTAATAGCCATGGCCATCGGGCTGCCTGAATCAGAGGCCGCGCTAAGGATACTAGTCCCTACTTGGGGCTCACTCAGATCCAGACCTCGCTTCTCTAGAGCGTGAAAAGGAGTTCGCGCCTCCGTGGGCCTGCCCACTCGTGACGTCACGCACCGCTCGGGGGTCCCGGCCCCGGCCCCGCCCCCTCGGGCTGGGAGGGGAGGAGCCCGCGATCCCGACTCCTGCCCCTCCCCCGGGGCAGAAGGACCTAGCAGGGTTACGTAACCGGTCGTCGCCTCCTGAGGGACGTCGCCGGACGTCTTGGACAGACCGAGGACAATGGGTGGGGAGTGCTCTTGTCGCCAGGAGCCTGGAAGTGGCAAGGCACCCCCCTCCACTTCTGATTCACTCTTGTTTCCTGCCCGTTTCGGCCTCCTCCTCGGGGACCCTGGTCTTCCCCAAACTCTGTAACCTCACATCTTGCAGCCCCTACAGTGCAGCTCTTTCTCCGACTCTGGAAATATGCCCTTCTCGCCTTGCCCCTCCCTTACGCTTCTCAAGTTTCCCCCAAACTAATTGCCTTATACCGTTGTTTTGATTCCTGAACCCCCTAAACTTCCAGTTTCCCACGTCCTTCTTTGCTCAGCATCTGGGGTGTCTCTTCCGGCTCCTTCAAAAGACCCCATTATTCTGTCCCTGTCCTCCCAATCTCCTCCTTGGCGCCCCCATTCTTCCCTCAGTATCTCTCGGGTCTTCCCCAAACTCCTGTCCCCTTGCCTCAAGCTGAACCCTAATAATCGTCCTGGTCCCCTAATGCCAGCTCCTAGCCTCTGCGAAGCTGTCCCTCTATCCCTACCTTGTCCCCAAATCTCATCCCCAAACCCCCTTTCCCAGCAGTCCTCCCGGGCCCCTCGAGGCCCGCGCCTCTCCAGGCGGCTCCCACGCCGGGCCCAGGTTCCCAGGCCGCTCTCCCGGCGGTGGCCCAGAGACCCAGTTTGAGGCGGCAAAACATTGGTCTCCAGGCAACAGGCCCCGCCCCGCCCCGGGGCTGTGCGTTGCGATTCTGGCCGCGCGGGGGCAGGACGGGTGCGTGGAGGCCCGGCCCGGACTGCTAGCCCAGGCAGCGCACTGAACAAGGGCCTTCACCTCCAGAGACCTGGCACGCAGAGTTCCGGACACCTAGACAGCAACGCGAAAACAGATCAGAACCCCGTAGCTAGAAACTTGGGGCGCAGAATCACGGGGAGCTGTCGGGAGGCAAGGATGAGACACCACTCACTTCAAAGGGGCAAGGACTGCCCGAGAAATACACAGAAATGGTGACCTTAAACACAAGCAACCCACAGGCCCCACAGGGACGCCCCTGATGGCTGAATAATCTATCTCTGATCTTTAGGGCCTTTACATTGAAGG